CAGTTACAGTAAGAAGGAGAAAAAGAATGATGTAAAAGCCTATTTGACTGCAATTCTGACCGATTATTTTAATTCCATTGTTAACATTTGCTCCTGAGTCTTTCGTTTTGCCACCTTTTTAGGAGCAGTTTTGTTTAGTAAAAATGCCTTGACAAGATTATCACATGGGTATTCAACAAAAAGCGCAGTTACTAATCCAATGAACAATGCCAAAAGTACAACTGGGATATAAACAGTAACCATTCCTAACTTCCTTGGATAAATATACGGAACATTTTTGGTGTCTAGAATTCCAATTGCTGCTATTGGATGCAGTAAATAAACCTAAAATTCAACAAATTTAAGATTTAAATAATTTATTTTATTTCCTTTGTTTTTCATCGGGTTTTTTACCGAGTAAGATATATTTGATAGTGGAATAAACATTGGTGATGATAACATGCGATTGATTATTCCGCCATATCCATGATGACAAGCATAAACAACCCACGCAACGTATGCTGACCAAAGCGTACGATGAAATCCTCCATAGATTAGGTCATAATATTTCCATTTCCAGTCCTATAATTGTATCAAACGAACTGTTACTATTATTAAAAACTTTTTTGGTTTGCCAAAAATACATTTGGAGGTCTTATTAAGTCGTTTAAAGAAGTTCTTTAATAGATGTAAAAGTTGATAGGTCATGTTTTTGCCAAAAGTTTAGCTTAGGGTACAACTTTCAAGATGACCTGCACAATTGGATATGAGCCATAAATGGCGCAGAAACCAACTACACTCGCTACTGTCCAACCGAAAGCAGCATTCAACCTAGTCATCTTCCAATTACGTACTTTTGTTAAAACTATTAGTCCACCCGCTATAATTCCAACCATATAAGGTCCAATCCGATATTCCGGACGTATGTATACAGTAGCATTTTGCTAAAAATCATAATTTATATTAAAACTTATATTTTCAGTTGATTTATTAACGAAAGAAAGGTTTTTGATATAGAAACTATTCGGATTTTAAATGTTTTTATTATGTTTCTCATAAAGTAAACGACTGTTATTCAGTAGTTCAAAGTAGAGACACCGATATTTTATGTAAAATTTCAAAAGAATATTTAAGCCTTGGCTTCTAATTCTCAAAAATTTTTTTTCTGCGCATTATAGAAATAGCTTTTGTCATGAAGAACAATTTTAGAAAAGGTAGAATAAATGCACCTCTGCTAGATTATCAACATAAGGTTTTGGTGGCTTGTCAAATGGGATGAACAATGGAGGAAATTTGTACTCAATTATAGCCCATATATTCATTAAAGATGAAACTAGAATGGTCACACATGAAAAAAATACGCCAAATAAGAATGTTTTCTTGAATATATACAGATATAAAGGCGTGATAAGTGAAAATACAACCAGGGTACCAAGAAACCTAAAAAACAAGGTTTAGAAAGCAGAAATAATAAAGCTGTTTTAAAAGGTCATCATTCGCTTGGTACGATTTACCACAGTAAAGACCTTTAAAAACAAATTTGTTTGCTGTAACTTTTTTTGTCTGATCAAAGCGCAAAAATTACGATTACTCAGACCAATACATGATAACACTAAAAATAGCTGGAATGAAACATAATACCAGGTCCATGGCATACAAGAACTTTCCCAGATACCATTTAGAAACAGCAAGTTTTTCCACCAGTCATTTGTACAGGGTGCAGAGACGAAATTGCTAGGCCAACGAGAACTGATTGAAAGTTCAGACCAACGAAATGTGTAGTTAGAAAGCGATACGGCGTATGCTGGCCAGAGTCTCAGAATTCTGGTGATGACAAACAAAAACCAAAATTTCAGCGGTGCTTTCAGCAGCATAAAACCTAGTGTAAAAAAAAGGGTAGCTTCTTAAAAGTCCAACTTTTTACATCTAATGTTCGCGGTTATCCTTATCTCGTCTCAATTGACAGTATTCCCAACGATTTTTTTGTGTTTAAGGTTATACTAAATGCTTCATGTAGTATTACTGTTGTAGACGTTTGAAAAAGAAAAAAACAGTAAATTATAGATTTGAGAAAAATTTTGAAAATTCAAAGATCTTAATTTGGCATATGAATAATTCTTTTTTCTTTAAAGAATACTTGGTCGCAGACAGCCAGGTGATTTATTTGAAAATTAGAAAAAAAGGAAAAAAGCTTCTTAAAAATTTGATGAGCTTTGCAAATTATTGATAAGATAGCATCTCTGACAACTTTCAATATTAACATCAGGCTCTGGAATGTTTAATAACTTGAGGGAGCAAAATTTCATGACTTGTCAGCCTTTTAATTTTACAGTAGTAAAAGTGGCATCTAACTGTTTAACTTCCAAGAGTAAATAATTTTAAAAGTCAAAGCTTAGCAAAAAAATAGCTTTAAAAAAACAAAACCATTTTTTTGCTTTTATCTATTCACTTGTTACTCTTAACTTACATTTATGTCATTTCTAACTTTTTTCTCTCTTCTCTCTCTCACCTCTCCCACAAAAAAAAGTTCACTCTAAATATAAATCTGAAAAGCATCATTCTCTGAATAATATTTATGGTAGCTATTTTTAGAAGATATGATGTGACAAGCGCAAACGTTGTGCTATTTAGGCGATTACAGTTTTGATATTTTCTCTTTTCCGGTTATAAGTTAGCATCGAATCAATGAATATTGGCATTTGCTGAGATAGTAAGACGTTTCTAAGCCTATTTTCTTGTTTCAGAACTTTAATCGCTGCTTTTCTTTTTTTTTTTTTTTGCCAACTCTAAAGCAGTTTTTTTTCAATCATTTTTTCTAAACTTTAATTCTTTGATTGCAAAATTTCTGCACAATTTAAGCTGATGCCATTCCATTATTAAGAAGAAAAATTGTTAGAACTGAAAACATTGTTGAAAATTCAATTTTTCGGTAAAGTTTTTAAACCACTTTTCGTCAAAAAAATTTAGTGCGCAACTTCCTCATTCCGGTTTCCAGTTTATACTCATTTCTTTTCTGTTTTAAAAACTTAACTTTTGATATTGCTTTTTTTAATTTTTTTGTTTATTTGTATTTGAAAAATTAATAATTTCAATCAGTGATAATATTTTTTGACTTTTTTATTTGAAGTTTTGTATGAGTTTTAATTGTTCAACACAAAAAGATTTCTGTTTTCGGTTCGTTATGGATAACAGATAACATAACCATTGTAAATATCACAACCATGTAAATCCCACTGAGCTAAACGTATCTCTACTTCGTTAAGTCAAAAAATTACAAATTTTAATAAATATGTAATCTGTTTCTACCAGGTTAATCGAGGTTTATTTCTCATAGTTTTAACTTGATGAGAATCTAGCTGCATTCAAACTTTAATAAAATTGCATCCAAAGTCGAAAGATATATTTCTCATCACATTCCAAAATTAAACCCCATCAATTTTGATCCTAAAAAAACAGCAACAAATTTGTGCGTGATTTTATGCTGCTTAATTGCACAACTGATTTTTTAAGTTCAAAGTTTGCACGTGAAAATTCACAGATTACTCACCTGATCAAAGATTACTATCTTATTAATATTTTTGTGACATTTCACTAAAGCTTTTAACACTAACAATGGTTACGTTACCCTTACCAGGTGTAATTAAAAAACAGTTCTTCACTGAACAAAAAGTTGAATAATTCTGACAATAAAAAATTTGATAAGAATAACAAATAAGAGTAACAGATGGAGCTTTACGCTTGATAGCGATATAAAATGCAGAGTAGAAAGACACACTTGATAAAATCTAGTTTTAGCACAAAGAATGTACGATGTCAAAAACCCGAAAGAGTATAATATTTCTCTGTTGCTAAATCTTTCAGTGAGAAATTTTATGATTTTTTGATTAATTTTGAACTTTTTTTTAGCCAAAATAACTTTTCAGTTTATTCTTTTGCCACTAATTAAGCACTCAGCTGTAGTTTCATTAACAAATCAAATTCTCTTCATTTTTTGTTACTTTTATTTTTGATGCTTTTATGTTACACTAACCACACTATATTTAGCTATTTATTTTTGCATATGTTAAAGTCTCGTTAGCAGCTAGACTTAGTTTTAAAGATACCATTAATTAGAAGAGATAAGCTTTAAAAATTAGCTGCTCAAGTCTCTCAAAATTATTATCTAGCTTTTCTACAGGAAATGCTCAAGGAGTTGTAGTCTTTTGACACCACTGCAACACATCATATCGCTGGAACAGGTAAAGAATTCACTGCAACAACAACAGACACGGAACTGTACTCTCAGTTTTACGCAAAAAGATTTGTAAAAAGAAAGAAATGTGAACCGTGAAAGGCTTTTTTAGTCTAAAAAATTTGTAAAAAGCAACTGGCATAGTTTAAGCAGCAAGAAGGTTGATACCTTTAATGTTTTCGTTATACATTACGGTTTTTAGATACCTTTAAACACCAAAACCTACAAGTCAAACTAATTAATTCAGTTTTAACTGGCTGTTGCATCTAAATTCGTTGTTACAAATCTGATAGAGTTTTTCAATAAAGAAGAAGAGTTAAGCTTTTAGTTAGATAAAGGCTAGAATGGTACAGATATTTAACTACTCTGTTTGGTAATGCTAAGAAAAATGTTGTTGTTTGAGCCAGTTTTGTATCTTCGTTCCTATAGATTTTGTTCCTGCAACATTAAGAACTTTTGTACCGTATGAGTCATAGTCTTTGAAAAAGATGTATGACGTTAATAGACCGGCCAAAACGAAGAAGGTATCAACGCTTAGAGTTGTATTTGTAGCATACTGGTGAATCAGCTCTTTTGACTCATCTCTGTATTCAGTTAGATCTTCAACGTAGCTCTAAAAACAACGGCAAATTAACAGTTATGCCGCATTATTTAGCATGTTTTTTTATATCTACGTTAAGCTGTATAAACATTTTAATATAAAGTGAAATTTGTAAAGATAAATTTTGACTAAAAAATTTTTTTTAAAAACTGATCATATTGAAAATACCAGAAGAACAATATACAAATGACCCATAATAACCCAAGCTAATGTTACGACTCGTATACCAAAAATACATTTGATAACGCTTTCTGAATTGTTTTGGAAACTGATTAGTCTACCAATATTTTTCTTGAGTGAAAATGCAATAAGCACTTTATCGGTGATCGACAATTCTTTCCTAAATATTTTTCTGTTTAGTAGGTCAATCTATTCAGTAGGGTAATTGAGTTAAATTAACAGATTAGTCACAAATGACAAAAATCATGTGACTTATTCAATTTTTTTATTAGATTTTTATGTTATTATGTTTATTTTTTTTCTTTTGCTTCAAACGTAGTTTTGCTTATAGTTCTGTTTTATTAGTACTCACTTTTTGCTGCAGTAAGCACTGCAGTGATAGTTAGTAGCCAGAACTGCGAACAGTAGTATCATAGAAAAATAGGTAAAGTCAAAAATTGTCACCGGTTTTTTATACCACTCGGTACTTCTTCTAGATTTTCCACACCATAAATTTCTAGACCTTATATCTTTACTTCTATTTAGTACATCAATCTGCCACATAAGCAAAAGCTGTAAAATTTTGGTTTATAAAAAAGGGAAAGAAATAGAAGAAAAAGTCATTTACCAGTTGAAAAAAAAAGAGCATATAAATAAGCATAATTTCTGTTTTACAAAAAAAAAAAAAGTTACATTGATTCGATCTTTTTCACAGGTAACCGGAAGACAGATGCCAAATGCACTTCTGTTAAAAATGCTGTTTTGGTAATTTACGAAACAATATTCAGTGGAATATTCTGATTTTGAATAAAATGTTTCAGCAGCTACCCTATGACATTTACGCATGTTAAGTGCCTGTAAAAAGCGATTATAATAAATAACAGTTATAAATGGTTGAACCAACAATACTAATGATATGTTTTTGGTAAACTTAAAGTGCTTAACAGAAAAGTACTGTTAGAATGTGAATGAATAACAGATTTTCAAACACGCATTTTCTGTTCTATTAATAAAAGTTTTCTTCTAAAATATTAATTCATTTACTGTAAATAGGTCAAGTAAAATTAATTAAATTTTACCCATAGAAATTGATCTCTTCCGCGAACATTGTCTGATCGACCAGTCGCATAAGAATCAATGAAAAATTTTCTTTGTTCAGGCAATGTATCGTAGGCAAAAAGATACTGCAAAACCTTAAAATGCTATTGTTCAAAAGTGCACTTCTGTTTCATACTTATAGCAGAACTATATAACTGTAAGTGCATAACCTTTTTAAGACTGTCAGTACATCGATCATCAAAATCTGTTCTGTTTGACATTCTCTTGACAAAATTTAGAACAGTTTTAGAACTGTAATGCTGTAAATCAGCCTTAATAAACTGTAAATTAAATAAAAATAAGCAAACAATTTTTGTTGGTAAAAGAAGCATTTAAAAAAAAAACAGTTCTGCAATTCCAGTAATATCGAATAAAATTTTATCAGGATAGATACTGTCTCAGTGACAGCAAAATATCTTAGTTTAAGATTTTTGCAGCAGCAGCAGACAGAAAATGACAACAGTTTTCCAATATTAGAATCAACTTCAAAAGGAACCTCACAAAAAGAGAGAAATACACAGTAGTTTAACCATGAGATAACCAGAATAAACTGCTAAACAAAGTTAATAACAAAAACTTAGGTTAGTCTTAAATAACATTAAAACTTTATCATTGTAAGGAACTGTTATTAGAAAAGATGACATTAAATGGTGCAGTTATAAAATGTTATTTGAATAGTTACTATTATTCTGATTTTCAGGTTTTATTTGTACAAATCGTTCGCTTATAACCGACCAGTTTCAGGTTTTTGTAGTTGCAATTGCTATATATTTTCAAAATTTCTT